CAGCAGCAGCAGCAGCAGCAGCAGCAGCAGCAGCAGCGGCGCCACCAGCAGGGAAAAGTGACAGTGAAATACGATCGCAAGGAGCTCCGGAAGCGGCTGGTGCTGGAGGAGTGGATCGTGGAGCAGCTGGGACAGCTGTACGGCTGCGAGGTACCTGGACACGGGGCCTGGAGGGTGGGGGCCTCCCTCTCCCCATGTGCCCACCCAAGAATTCTCCAGGGCCCGGTGCGCACGGTCCTGGCTCCCCCAGAACCCAGCGCTGGGGCGGGGCGCGGCGCGTTCTCGATCCAGGGTGCTCTCTGGCCCCGGGGAGCCGCGAGTGGGACGCCTCTGACTGGGTTCAGCCGCTGGGTGCCCCGGAGAGCTGCAGCCCCCCTTGCTGGCTCCAGATGTAAATTGTGTCCAGGATAGAGAACCAGACTTAAAATTGGTGACGGTGGGTGACGGTGTGGGGTTAGGTCTTGTTAAGCATATTGCCTTTCTGGATCCCCAGGGGCTCACCCCAGCTGCGCTTAACCCCGGGGAGAACAGAACTCGCTCCTGGGATCCTGGTAATCCCGATTTTTGTGGAGAGGGAACCGAAAGGAGAGGTTCTGGGGATCTCAGAGGCCCCCTCTGCTCCTGAAATTCTACATCCAAATCAGGAGAGGAACGCGTTCCCTCTCCCAGGCTCCCCCCCCCCCCCCCCCCCCCCCCCCCTGTTCCCATAATTAATCCTTTCATTGCCCAAAGCTGCACACCTTGAGCTTTGTGGAAGCGGCTTTCTTGCTTCCTGGCCGAGCTCAGCTGCTCCTGTTGATGGTGCAGAATGAAAGCCTCGGGCGACCTCCCTGGAAGGGCGCCTGGGTGGAAGGAAGGTAGCTCAGCGCTGGTCGGGACGCTGTGACCTCCCACAGCTCAGGGGCGCAGGCTACACGCCACTCCGCCCCGACGTGTTTACAATTGATGTCAGGAGGAATATTTAGAACGAGCTGTGACAAAGGTAGGCTAGGAAAAGGACCAAGGCCAGTATGATCTCTCCTCAGAGTCTTTAATAACAGTAATTTAAAATGAAGTCGTCTACTTCTCCTGCGGGAGTGGAATTTGGGAAGGGTGGAGGAGGATTAATAATTTAGGACATGGCGTCTAACTTGAAGCTAGGTCTGTGTCCTTACAACTGTTAACGCTCTTCAGTAACAATGAAAGCCAGATGGACTCCCTGGCCTTTTCATTGGTTTGGGGAAAACTAGAGTTTCACACCTTTTGTGGCCAATTGTGAATACGTATCCTCCTTAACATTCTCATCACACAAGGAAACAGCATTCTCATTATGGACTACCGCTGAATGGTTATGATATAATGAAGCTTGGCTATCTGACTCATGGGCTTGTAAAATATATTGTTTTTCCAGCCCAGCTCCTATAAAAAGCCATTTTAATGTCATGAATAAAAACTGGCCAACGTCGGAAGTGTTCATGTTTTTCTTAAGTAGGAAGCTGGCAGAACTCTCCAAAGGAACAATATATATGATCTGGATGGGGCTACTGCATGCTCTGTCTTGCCTCTGTAGAATCCAATTAATTTTCATTTATTAGTTTCATACAGGCCTTTATACTCCATTTTGAATTTGAAAGATTTGAGTTCATAGAAAAACTGCTGTTGAAATGAACAATGCTTTGGCAATGTTCCTTTCATGGGAGGCTGAATGGGCGGAGCTTGGGCAACTCGAGAGAGTTCCAGACTCTCAGTAGGTTGCCAATTCATATGTTTTAAAAACTCTTCAGAATAACTGGGGGGAAAATGGAGGATTGATTGTTCACTGTATTGGACATGTGGGTATATTTTTTAAAGGGTGAATATGACCTTGAATCTTTTCTTTGTATTTCTTCTCTCCTTTTAGACCTCCAACTTATAGATAGCAAACAGCTTTGATTTGAAAGATAGGTTTTGTGGTGAAATGATACAAGATGCTATATGCTGCCCCCCTGTCATTAAAATGTGGCAAGCACTTCTCTTCCAGTTGTGTGTTCTGTCATTTTGGAGGGAAGGAAGATAAATCATTGAGGAGGTTGCTGGCAATTTGTAATTACTATGCTGATGGCACGCCTCATTTAATAATCGAAACACGTGGACAAATAATTAGCCCTATAAAGGATTGTCTTCTTCCATCTAGTTCTCTACTGGTAGGCTCTCTTTCAGCCTCGTTTCTCTGGCCTGGTAGCCTTCCCTTGCTGACAGCTTCAAGTAGTTCAGCCTGTGACATGTGCATGGAGAAGGACTTACCTTGGCTTAAAGCTCTGAATCTCATGAATACGAAGGTTAGGAAATGCCCTTGTTTAACACTTAAAGTTGGTAATTTTTCCAAATATTTATCACATGAAATTGACACAGAAAGCCAATTTGCCTGAGCTAACAGCTAAGTTGGGGGTGGGGTGCGGGAAGAGTGGTTTGAACACGTATTTAATTTCAGAAGAACTTTTAAAAGGCAGGTCAGCAGTTAGATGACTTGTCCTTCACAGAGTAGAAAATAATGATCTTTTGGAGCAGCATAAAGCATGAGATTTAACATTAGAAAAGAGTGGGAAGGAAGAAATACACTTTCTGGCTGTGGTCTTATCTAGAAGTTTGCACTGCGATCAGTTTAGTATGGAGAATAATGTAAAGACAGGATGTGAGGAGAGCTTACTAGGTACCAGGTGCTGTTCTAGGCACTTTGTAGTCACTCACTCACTTAGTCTTTACAACAACCCTGTGAAGAGGGTGCTGCTAGTGTCTCTATCGTACAGATGAGGAAACGGAGACAGAAAGATTAAGAGGCTTTCCCAGCTCACCTAGCTGGTGAATGGCAGGGGTGGGGGTGGGAGTGGACCCCAGGCTTGCCTGAAACTTGGCAGGGTCTCATGCCAGAGAACAGATGGAGGCCCTCATAGCACACATCTAAATATTTTAAAGTTATAAATTAAGTGAACAAAGGAGCATTTATCTACCTGCCTTGACAACAATAGCTTCAGAATGGCCTGGAGGGTTAGGTTTGGATTTGGAATTCTCAGGCTTCCCAGAGCTCAGAGCTGGAATGCGGTTGGGGAGAATCTTCCTGGGCCTGGGGTCCGCCCCCCTTTGCATTTCTAAAATGCTTAGTTATTGTGTTTACATTTATTTTCCATTTCATCTCCTTGTACAGTTTCCTCCTAGGAATTTGGTTGTAATGGGACTGTTAGGTTAAGTCTATATCCACAGTTAAGGGTTTCTGGTTTAAGACATTTTCCTATCTCTTCCAAACCCTGTCTGGTTTTAAGAGCATTTGAAATCTGGCATAGCATCTCCATGGACACATATTGCAAGATGACTGACTGGACAAGTCCTATCAGTTTTTCCATCTTTCCCAACATCTAGATAACATCCGCACTCCCTGTTGTGCAATTCCATATGCTTTGGAAATAAAAGCCTGTTGTTCATCTCAAAATGCAAGGGGAAGCCTCACCATAAACAGGTTTGTGCATCGAGGGTTTTCCTGTGTTGTTATCCAGACTGTCCATTTCGGAGGCCTTTCTCTTTGTTGAAGCGGCTGCATTTTAAAAAGTGGTTTCTGGCATATTACACCTTTTCTTCCTCCCCGACACCCTACCATCCTCTGGCTGTAAATCAGTTTTTCTGATGGTGACTCATAGAAAGAAATACCCTTTGGATTGCTGCCTGATATACACACACAGACACGCGGATGTATGAGCAGAGCCACAAGCACCCCCTCATGTTACTATGTGCGCCAAAGAAAAAATTACAAAGGAAATATAAGATGTGACTTCATTAATGCTTAAATCTGATGTTCTGTTCTATTTCATTTCCCAAAGTTGTTGGTTGTGACCCTCTAGGTTGATCTCATAACACATTTCTGGACCGTGGGCTGTAGTTTAAAAAAATACTGTAAGGTATAGCATAGGGCAGCAGTTCTCAACCTGTGGGTCGCGACCCCTTTGGGGGTCTAACGACCCTTTCACAGGGGTCACCTAAGACCATCAGAAAACACATATATAATTACCTATTGTTTTTGTGATTAATCACTATGCTTTAATTATGTTCAATTTGTAACAATGAAATTGGGGGACACCACAACATGAGGAACTGTATTAAAGGGTCGCGGCATTAGGAAGGTTGAGAACCACTGGCATAGGGAATGTAGTCAGTAATATTCTAATAACTAGGCATGGCGCTGGATGGGTACAGGATTTATTGGGTGATCACTTGTTAATTTATGTCTGGCCACTGAAACTAACATAATGATGTATGTCAACTGTAATTGAAAAAAATGATAAAAAATACTACTTCAAAAAGGGAAAAGTCTAAACATATGTAATAAAATTAGCTGACATTTATTGAGTGCTTTCTATGTAACAGGTATGATTTGTGTAATCCAAGTAACAACCTCTCATATTCCATTTTATGGATGTGGAAATTGAGGCACAGAGAAGTCTGGAAGTTGCTCCAGGGCCCTCCGGTGGGACTTGGCTGAGCAGGGATGTGCCTGGAAAGTCGGATGGCACCTTAACCACTGCACTGTACTGCTTCCTGAGGGGGGACAGTGGGTCCCATCTGTGAACCCCGTCTTTCACCCACTCTCCAGGTGTGATGGTTGGAACTTCTAAGCTGACTGACAGTGCCTGTGTGGGGATACATACCCCTGTCAGCGGTGTGTTCTGTGCCTGCATCAGGCCTCTTGCTTGAAGTTCAGGTCCTTGCTTTGTATGTAGATCCGCTGCTACAACATCAAATTAGCCTGCTGTGCTGCTTTGTGAGTCCCTCGGCTGGAGGTAGAAACTGCTGCTTAGAGTTTGGCTTGTGAATTATTTGGTGAAACATCATTTGTGTATTTGAGAATGAATAGCATTTTAAACAAAACTGCTTTAAAAAATCTCCATAAAGTCAATCTGTAAAATATTAAGGAATAAATTAAACATGTTAAAAGTCTATGAATAGCCCTAGCTGGTTTGGCTCAATGGATAGAGCGTCGGCCTGGGGACCAAAGGGTCCTGGGTTCGATTCCGGTCAAGGACATGTACCTTGGTTGCAGGCTTCTCCCCAGCGTGGGCCCTGGTCAGGGTGCATTCAGGAGGCAACCAATCGATGTGTTTCTCTCACATCGATGTTTCTCTCTTTCCCTTTCTCTTCCATTCTCC